TTATTATTATTATTATAGAGTACGACTAGACATCTATTTAACATATATTCTCCCTGAGGAAGGAAATGGGAGAGTGAAACACAATTCTCAGAGAGCGGCGAAACCGTGACGAACGCCGGGCTCAGACGTGAGCGAGACGGGCATGTCGCGTGTCATAATTTCCTTCCATGTGTTTTATGGTGACTTCAGGGATTTTCAAACATAATTTTAATTAGTCATTTTTTACCTCTTCACCCGCTTCGGGACCCAACCAAGAGGTGGTTTTCAGTGACTAAATGCGCGCGTGGGTGCTCTGCAGGAGTGAGCTGTTCCTCGGGCGGCAGTGCAGGTGCGGACCCGACAGAAAGCACGCAGAGGCAGAGTGGCTGGGTCGAGACCGCGCTGAGGTGGCACAACAGCCCAGTGAGGGGCCCCTGTCTGGCTCCCAGGTCTACACGCCCGCGGCCTCATGCGCCCTTCAGCACTTGCCCTGAGGTTTCCCACAGTACACCCCGAAACAAAGCATCACAGCTGATACTTACCCTAAAATAAGTGATCCAGTAAACTTTATTATATTTCCTTCAAAAAAAGGGGAAAAGAGAATAGGATAAGTTTTACTTGAAGGACATGACGAGAAGTAGGCAAGTGCACATCTCACCCCCCGCACGCTCAACCAGGCGGAGTCTCTGCCACGCTTTCTGGTGTGGTCGGTGTATGACCACCTGGCTTCCTGTCCCCAGGCACACTTGGACGATGAGCGCTGTCCAGGGGGCAGACTGTCCACAGGGCAGAGTGTCTCACGGCCGTCCTCACTTGTGGTCATCCCCTCCCCCCTTCGCCCCACGCTGCCCGGTCTCTTGTGAGAGCGCCTCGCTCCTCTCGGGGCGTCTGCAGTGCTTCCCCTCCCTGACTCGGCCAGTGCAGCGCCAGTCAGGTGCGGGAGCAGGGAGACTTCTGTCTGCCAGGCCGGGGGGGATGGTGCGTGTCAGGGGACACAAAATGGCTCCTTCTAGATAATTACGCTTAGTGGAGGTGCCCCATAAGTTTCAGTCTACATTTTTATTTATGAATTTTTGTCTAGAATTTGGAGAACATTTTTTCATTGGAAGAAAAAACAAACCTAGTGGCAGATAGTGAGTGGCCAGCCCAACCTACACTCCCGCTATGTAAGGAAGATGGAAACAGGCGGTAGCAAGCAAGGTAAATAAAGCTCCTTAAGTAAAGAACGCTTAATGAACACGGCCACCTAATTACTATCCCAAACTATGCAAATCCCAGCGGGGAGGAGAGCTGTGCCACACAGGCGCAGTCCACCCACACCTTAATGGAAGCTTGCTGGGAGGGCCCCTGCGCGTCTGGAGGTTCAGCAATTATCTTGTGGCCATCAGGGCAGTAAAGATAAGAGAGCAGGGAGACAGGCCTTGCTAAGCTGAGATTTCTGCCCTAACATGTCTCTAGCATGACTTCCTGCTATGTTAAAAAAAAAAGGAAACACCTACTGATGTAAGCCGTGGTGGTCAAGTATCTGCCACTGGGACTACCTTGCACCCATGATGGTCAGGAACAAGCTATAATTCGGTGGGTGCTGGCAGCCCTTCGTTCAGACCTTGAACGTGTGCTGCCAGGAGCGCACTCTCCTCCCCAGCAAGGGCAAGGAGCTCTCCTCGAATGATTTCTCCCAGCCCTGGGCTTTAATGGTGGCAGCAGAGCAGGGCAGAGGACACGCCTGTAGGTCTGCAGGGTGGGGTCGGAGATGTGCAATGGGCAGTCTGGTTGTCTGGTCTCCACCCACCCCACCCCACCCACACCCCACCCGCCACTTCGTCCTGCTTCTTCCTCCTCTCCACCCATAGTCTTCACTGGAATGCCTCACTTGCCTCACTGTCACAAAGGACTCGTTCCTGCGAGAGTAGTTTGGTCAGAAATGGTGAGAAGAAAAGCGCTGTCCCTGCTCCTCTTTTTATTTAAAATACAAAATCACAGAATTTTCTAGATACAAAGGATTTACCTCGCAAACAATCTATGTTAAAAAACGAAAGGACTGTGACTTTATATCTTTTTCAAAACTGTATCTGCGATGCTCAGAACAGTACCTGGTACATGGTAGAGGTTCAGTAAATGTCAAATGGGGGAAAGACGATCTTGTAAGCTCCCAAATAAAGACTAGTAATAAGGGAGGACAAAGACCGGTGAGTCCAGAGTGCGGCAGCGCTCGGCCTAAGGGCGAGCTCATCCTCCTCAGCCACACTGTGCTCTCAGGCTGACCCATGTGGCGACTCTGTTACCAGGAGCTGCCACTCACTGAGAGCTGCTGAGGGGGAAGGGTAAAGCTGATCAAGAAGGATCGAGATGAATCTGACATCAAGCGGAGAGGGACGCGAGGCCTAGGAAAAAGGAGTTAAGTGTGGCTCTAGACCGACAACTCCGGGGTGAGCTGGGGCAGAGAAGACAGAAACAGCTGTCGAGGCTCGGCGGCCGTGTGCGGCCCTGCGTGTGCGGGTCGGCCGCCCCGAAGCCTAAGCGCCGCCCGCCCAGCACTCACGGACATCTCTCCAGCGCGGGCTCCTGTCCGGCGGCTCCCGAGCGGCGGCCCCCGCTCTCCTGCAGCAGATGACGCAGTGCGCGGCCAAGGCCATCCTGCGCGTTCAGGACAGCTGGGACCCGCGTAGCGGCGCCGGAAACACTTCGTAACTGCAGGAACATGCAGAACCACAGTAGAGTGCTGCAGGAGCAGAAACAAAAATTCTTCCTTAAAGGCCTAGAACAGACTCACTGGGAATACGTTTGCGATTACTTCGAGAGCCTCCAGCTGCACGTGGCTGTGAGCAATCAGGAGGAAAATGGGCATTCTGATGGTTAGTTGTCAGTGTGATTATGAGTCAAAATATCAATGTTTTGAGAGTTTTCATGTCTTCTAAAAATGCACAGATAGAAATGTGTTTATGGTGAAGGCCTGCCACAGGAGAATCAGCTCTGATGAAGACATGCTTGGAATTCGGGGAGGGTGGAGCTTTCCTGTGATGCCTTCGGGATGGCTCTGTGCACACTGTTTAAGTCTTTGAATGTAGTTGCTGATGGCTGGCATCCTTCCAGAGGGGTACTGTTGCTCAACTAGTTCATCAAGGATGATCTAAGTATGATGCAAAAGCTTCTGGAACAACTCAGTATTCTAGATCACGTCAGCTTGTGCTCAGATGACACTTTGTCCCTTTTATTTTTCCTTTTGTGTTAAGAGAAAGGAGGGAGCTACCTTGAGGGACTACTGGGTGTCTGCAGGTTCGGCATATAAACAGCCCCTGGCAGCCCTGTAGGGAGTAGAGGTGTCAGACTACCTGGTAAAGAGACAAAATGCGAAAACACCCAGAAATCAAGTGGCGAAATGTCGATAAATGCCCACCAGTAACTTCCTAAATGTCCTGAACGTAAGAATCAAAAGGTACAAAATGGCTGGCTGCGTCAGATACTAAAGCCCAACGTTTGGCTGTCTCTGAGAAAGTCATCTGCATTCCAAAGATGAACACAGGCTCCAAGTAAAAGGCTGAAAACAACCCTAAAATAAAATGACCCCTTAAAGAGGCAGAGAGACCACTTTTATCAGTGAGATTGACTTCACTTCCAGAAAGAGAGCGCAAGAACTAGGGAAGGACCCTATAAAACGGGTTTCCTATATTGCTACAGTGCAAACAGCAAGGAACTGCGAGCCCACCGGTGGCCCACCCCACGGTAGAAAGTGGAGCCTTCTGGACTCCACCCCAATTTCCCATGGAGCTGATGGGAAAGGGGCAGGGCTGGCACGTCAACAGTTAAATCCCTGGTGAGAAGGGGCAGCTATGGAGAAACCTAGCTGCTACAGCAGCTTTGGCTTGGACTTGTCTTTGCTCAGAGGCCACAACTTGAAGCAGGACAGACAGGCCCCTCACCAGCCAGTGTTTCTCTTCTGCTTTCTCAGCTCTCGCTTTTCGTACTTCCCACATAGATAGAACCTGGTACTGTTCTTTCCCCCCAGGAGTCTGCTTTTGAGTCATGGCCTGAAGCTGCAGGCATGGGGTGGGGACCCACCATCTGGGGCAACCCCTGTCCCTCACATTTGTCACCTCAGTGTGGCCCCAACCTGGGGCCAGGCATCCCAGTAGGCCAGCCCAGGCAACCCTCCCTGCAGTTGGCATCACAGCAATTGCTGGGCACGTGGCATCGTATTCACTGTTGGGTAATTAAGTGGGATTTTCTCTGACACATATGATAAAACTTCCAGAAACCTAAATTTTTTAAAAAATGGGTTGTCTTTTCTGTTTGTTTGATCAGCTCGGTAAAGCTCCGGAAACACACCAGAAAAGTTCTCCTTCTCTTTATGGGAAAGACAGGCAAGTTCAACCTATTTAGTGAGCTGAAACCTAAGGGAAAGCACTGTACTTGAAGTGATTCACCTTCGTGGCCACATTAGTATCAATGTTTTAAAGTTATTAGGTGAGACTTAGTGTCTGATATGTTTTGATATACAGTTGCTTGTCAGTACTGGTTGTTGCTGTCTTGGGAAGTTGTAAGTTCGTTAATGTTGGTGACTTCAGAACAGTGGCCTCTGCAGAAATTGTTTGTGGGGAGTGAACAGGACCAAGGCCTCAGTGATACTGTAAGGCCCATGCTAACCGGCAGTATTCAAGGCTGAGCGTTTTCTACAGGAGGCTAAATGGACTTAACTATGTTTGTCTGAAATTGTACTTATTTTTTATTCAAGAAAACATTTTAACTTTTCTGTGGCATTGTAAACCTACATTCTGTAAGCAGAACTAAACTGTTAGCATTTTCCCTTTCCTTGATGCCATCACAATATGAAAACATGGCTCATGGCAACATGTCTGTCTCTGCACAACTTCAATAGGGAATTTTGTTTCTCCTCTGAGAGTTGGAACGATGGTAGCTGGCTCACAGTTTGCTTGGGATGTCCAGGCAGTACTAAGATGCGCCTGCCATTTTGCCTGTGGGGTCCAGACACCCCGAGGTGAGCAGGCAAGCTGGCCTCCACTGAGAAGTCTGGAGACCCCAGTGAGACAAGTCCTGGGAACCGTAAGAGGAAGAAATGACCCGAGGTACAGCGCTGCAGGAAGTCTGGTGAGACACACCGTGGCATGGCCCCACTGGGTGAGGCAGGTACTGAAAGCGCCATCTAAGGCCCCTAAGGCGCCCATACAGCCAACTAAAATTCTACCTGGGTATTCTGCCCCAGGTATAAAAACAGAATTAGATTCAGTTTACAAACACATTTTTGCTGTACTGTTTGATAGAAGTGGGATGAAAACAGAGCACTGTTTTAATGGTAACCTCTCAAGTGTTTCCGAGATCTCTATTCTCTCTAGGTTTGAACTATTTTCTAGAAATGAAGAACGTTGCCCACTGGCTGGGCTTGGATAATGCCTCATGATTGACTGCTGTGTCCTTTCCATAAGCTGGAATCCTGGGGTCTCCTGAGGCCACACCCCAGCATCCAGGCGTCTGATTTTCATCAGCACTGAAAACATTTCGGTGCTGTAAGATTTGAGTACCTGTTTTCAGAGGTGAAAATGCTTATAAGTGGGAGGAGCAACCTCTGAGCCAGTGGCCAGCTTTCACAACTCCACCCCAAAGTCTGGGGAGCTGGTGCTTCCGCAGTTAATCTCCTGGCAAGGAAGGGTTTTGGGGGGAAGTCACCAGTTAGCTGTGTGTGCTTCGGTGTGGACTCCAGTCTCTGTTCAGGGGACAGTGTCTAAGGTAGGACAACAAAATCTGGCCATTTGCTGCCAATCATTTCTCTCTCTCTTTCTCTCTCTCTGCGCTAGATTTTCTCAAGCCCAAACACATCCAGATACTGCTTTTTTCCCCTGCGTCAGTTTTTATTCAATCCTGTAGTGGCAAGGCCAGAGGGAAGGGCTCACCAACTGGCTCCACCCCAATCCCTCAGGTTTCCTCTCAGTTACAATTTTTTTAAGTCTTGGTTTGTTTTATGCTCAGAATAGGATCTGTCTTGCTGAGTGTTGTATATGCACCTGAAAAGGATGTATATTCTATTGTTACTGGGTAGAGTATTCTACAAATGTTAATTAGGTCAACTTGGTTGGCAGTGTTTTCAGATCTTCTCTTCATTACTGATTCTTTAATCAACTCTTCTTTTGACTGAGCTGAGTAGAGATGCATTGAAAACTGCTACTCAGATACTACAGTTTTGGAGTTTTAATTACTATATATATATCGTTATATACATACACATATATACATATATAGTTATTTTATTTATATATAGCTGTAATGTGTGTGTGTCTGTGTGTGTGTATATATATATGTATATATATATATATATATATATATATATAAAATTACTATAGCTTTATACTTAGCTTTAGTATCTAGGAGGAAGCAACATTGATTTTCCTCAGAGTTGACCAAGAATAGCATTCTTTGCCTTTCCACATGATTGACTTAGAATATCAAATTCCATGCAAAACCATACAGGTTTCTTCTGCTTTCCAAAAGTAGAATTCTTATTTGGTAGGTCATTTTGGAGGATCTGAGAATGCTATTATCACTAATTTGAATGGGAAAATTTTTGCGCATTCCCACACCCAAAATACAATATGCCAAATCCTACCAAATAAGAGCATTACGCTTTCAGGTAGCAAGACAAACATGCCTAGAATTTTTTTAAAAGATTTACTTATTTATGCATACAGAACTGGGGTACAGGCCAGAGGTGCAGGGGCAGTGAGAGAGTCCACCAGAGACAGAGCGGGGAGCAGAACAGGCAGATCGAGGAAGTACACTGCTGAGGGGAGCAGCAGGCGGGTCAGGACCAGTCTGCCGTGCCGTGGGGGTCACCTCCCGGGCAGGGATAGAACTCACACCAAAGCAGCTGTGGCTCCCTTGCAGTGCTGGTCCTAGTCCTAACCCACTGCGCCACCAGGAAGGGCCCAACACCATGTTTTTAAATGCCGTTGCTTTATAACATATTTTCATGGCATTTCTCCCTTTGTAGCTATTTATGGTCGTCTAGGCTTCTAGATAAACATTATAATCATTTTGTCAGAAGAGCCCATCATGGCATAACTAAGTTATATAAGGAGGGGACCTGAAAGCCATTTGTAACATCCTCTCACTTTCCAACAGCCTTTCCAACCATTCTTTATCACATCACCATCTGATACCTTCTCACTGACAGATTTTAGTGATTCTCTGCTCCCACTGTAATGACAGCTTGTTTACCACAATGTGAGCCACACTGGATGCATCAGAGTGTTTGCAGAATAACAATAAAAGGATGGAGATTTAAAATCTGGATTCCCAGAAATACAGGCAGAAAAGGTTTGAACTGAGGGTGAACTGATGGCCAGTTCAGTCGGAGAGGGGGCGGTTGGGTCAGCACCAGGCCTGCACCTGGGGCACAAAGGGGAGGTTCGGTGTGATGGAACTGGGGCGGGGAAGCATGCAAGCTGAGAAAACGCACCTGGGGAGAACGATCCGATCCGAGAGGGAGACAGAACTGGCGACAATAAGGACGCCGACGGAGGAAGAAGATCGAAAGAGCAATGGAAGAGCTAAATTTGTAAATCACACGAACGGATAAAAGGCAGCAGGAACTTAATGCAGGAAGTGTCATTTATCCGAAAATGGAAAGCAAGAAGCTCCTACCTCACTGAGCAGCGCGAGCGCTCTCCGCTCACAAATCAGGATTTGGGGGAGGCTTCGCTGCAGCGCGCGCTCTGGCCTTCCCCTTCAGGAGGACCGTTACCGGGTTTGGAGGCCGATCGTGGTCCCACGCAGGCCACCCCCAGGCCCGAGCCACCCCGGGTCGCGGAGGCGCGGGTTTGAATGAGACGGCTTCCTCCTCCGCGCC